GTATTTGTTTTCCTTTTATTTATTTATTTATTTATTTCACCCTGACTTGCTGACAATCAAGTAATTCATGTTGACTTTAAGAATATTTATTTATTTATTGATTGATTGATTTGACACTGACATGTTGATACTAAAGTCATTAATGGTGAATTTATTTTAAAATGTCAATTATTTAATTAATTCAAATATTTAATTAATATTTCCATAATTATTTATTAATGTATTTGTTTTCCTTTTATTTATTTCTTTATTTATTTAACACTCATGTAATGAAATCCATACTGGTGATTGATTGATTGATTGATTGATTGTTTACTTTAGCATATTGAAAATAAAGTCATTTGTGTTTACTTTATTTATTTATTTATTTCATTGACATGTTGATGATAAAGTAATTAATGGTGAATTTATTTAAAAATATAAAATATTTAATTAATTTAAATATTTAATTCATATTTCCTTAATTATTTGTTAATATATTTGTTTGCCTTTATTTATTTATTTACCTACTTATTTACTTGCATGTAAATAATATTTGTATTTTATTTATTTATTTACACTGAAATAATGGCAATAAATTGTATATATGTATTTCTTGAACAATGAGCTAATGAGACTGAGGTCATTACTGATCTCTCCCGCCAAAGCAAACATTATTAACCAGCCGCAGATGAGCATGTCTGAGTTTGTGGCCCTAGTCCGGTGTGATGAGTGCATGTATTTGCTGCTGTCTATGTTGTTACAAATGTAAGGCTGTTTTTGGGCTATAATGGCAGCCTGTGACTGGTTTGCACTGACGAAGCTCGTGCTTGATAATTGACTGTAATTATCCATTCAGGAAGGCTGGTTCTGCAGGTATGATTAGAGATAAGGCTGTGGGTGGGCTGTTTTTCTTTTGCAAGCATGTGCTGTGGTTTTACAGAAGCTGCAGGTGGGTCTCATTAGTGGAGTTCATAATCACCTGTAAGTGAAATAGCAGCTGTTAGTCATGATTCTTTTGTCTTTACACATACAGATTTGGAAATGTAAAACTATACTCTTTCAGTTTCCGTCTTTGAGTTTCTGATCTATCACCACAGTACCATGTTCAAAGCTGTGGTAATACTATTGTATGTTGAAAAAAACGTGGCACTGTGCTAGATGTCAGAAAAACCTAATGCTATGGTGCATGATTAAAGCTATTCAGTTACCATGGTGCATGTCCAAAAAACTATGGTATTACCATAGTACATCCAAAAACATGGAAGTGCTGTGAGACATATTTTTATTTGAAAATTATTATTTTTTTTAGATATGAAATCAAAGTTTTTGATACTTGGAGGAAAACTCTTTGTTCCCTCTACTGAAAGAAGAACAGATATGACTTCACATGAGCTTCAGTCTGCAGCCGCGGCTCAGATCTGCTGAGGGTCTCTGGCATGTTCGCCACATGTTTGCATGGACGCATGAAAGGAGGAAGAACAAAGATAGCTGCTCCTCTCATCCTCCTTCCACATCCTCATGCCTGCATGTGTTGTGTCTCTGAGAGTCTGGAGATACGGGGATCAGATTCTTTCAAGTTACAGATCTTTCAGCTTAAAAGAACTGCACATACCATTTTCTGTCCAATTAAAATTTCTCATCTTCTTTATTATTTATTTATTTGTTTGTTTAACACTGACATATTGATGATAAAGTCATTAGTGACTCTATTTAAAAATATTTTGTATTTGTTTAGTCTTTCATTTTTATTCATTTATTTTTATTTACCACAAATAATGGCAATTAAGTCATTACTGGTTAAAAAAAAGTATTTATTTATTTATTTACACACTGAAATAATGACATTTTTATTTTATTTTTTATTTATTCACCAAAAATGGCAATTAAGTCATAAATAAGTCATCTGCTAACTTTATTTAAAAATATGTATGTATTTATTTATTTATTTATTTATACTTGTTTGTTTATTTGTTTGTTTTAGTCATCTTTCTTTTGGTTTTTATTATTTTATATATATTTTTTATTAGCACACTGAAATAATTGCAATTAAGTCATTACTGGTGACTTTATTTAAAATAAATTATTATTAATCTTTTTAAATTATTTTTTAATTTCTTAGTTTAGTTTATTTGTTTGTTTGTTTAGTAATTTGTTTTATTTACACAACAAAATAATGGCAATTAAGTCATTCTGGTGACTTTATTATTATTATTATTTTTTAATATGATTAATTTGTTTAGTCTTTATTTATTTATTTATTAAAACTGAAGTAATAGCAATTCAGTCATTACTGGTGATTTCTTTGTTTATTTATTTATTCCTTCATGTATTGATTTCTTTGTTTCTTTAATAAACTACAAGAATGTCACTGAGGACGCTGTCTCCCACCAAAGAAAACATTAGTAACCAACCTTTCAGTCATCATTACATTAGAAATCAATCAATGACATCAGAAAAATGCAGCAACATGCTGTGATTATCCACTGTTTTACAGTTTTTCTTAAGCGAGGTAATCATCCAATAAAGCACTATTGAGCGATCCACGGAAACTGTGTTTTAAATTGTGTCTTAACCAGCCGGCTCAAGTGCAGGACACTTGAAATATCGCAGAGCGAGAGACAGAGAGAGTAAGTCATACTGGGACAGGAGCAGACTGTAAAGCTCCAGCATGTGTTTAGTATGCATAACTGGTTGAACCCTGTTTCTTGGATTCAGTCTCTCGCACGGTGGTCTCTCCTGTGACAAAGACACACAGTCTCTGCTTTCAGACCAATGGAAACTTACTTTATCATTGTCCACGAATTCAATACATGCGCGCCAGGTATCCTAGTCCAACTTTGACTGTGTATTTGAGGATTCAGAAACTAGGCTACACAATTATTATGTCTCAGTTGTTCTGTGGGGCACATTTATCATTTATCCAACACAGTTCCTGTCCTTGAATTTGATTGGCTGAGCTAATTGTCTGTGTTTGTGCCAGTCTGCGCATTAGTGGTGGATTTTCAATGATTCTTTTTGCGGGTTACATTGTTATGCCACTAGGTGGCGACAAGTGACCATCTCATAATGAGTGATGCATTGAATCATGTAATCAGCTGATTTGATTGATTCATTTAGGAGCGAAACATCTGAATTCCTTTATAAATGAGTTATTGAATTATTCACTCTATCGATTCATTCAAAAACACTGATTCATCCAGGAATGAAAGAAGTGAGCTTTTTTCATAAATGAGTTGTTGAGTCATTCACTCAAGTGATTTGTTTAAAACACTGATTCATTCAGGGATGAAACAAGTAGCTGTCTTCATGAGTGATTTGGTGAATCGTTCACTCCACCATGGTCTTGTGGAAAAAATGTAGAGAAAAACAGTGTAAAAATATATAAATAAATAATAAAAAATGGGATACTAAATAAACTATTAAAAATAAGATGCTAAATAAATAAGTAAATAATTTATTTGAATAAATAATACATTTAACTATGCAGTATTATAGTGAGTATAAAAACATAACAACGCAATGTAATAGAAACTAAATAATTTCAACATATAACATATTTATCCGGGGTCCTTGGCCTGCATTTTACTATGGTACTCCCATAGTACTTGTCTTTTAAGGGGAATATGAGTATATAGACTTTCAGCTTAATCTGTTTTGCCATTTAACACTTCACACAAATGCTTTTCCTCACTCTCATCCTGTTTTCTTCTCTTTTCCTCTTTTGTGTCTCATATCAATGGTTTAACCAGGGCTTCTCATGTTTTCATTCTGCCTATTCTATTATATACAGAATTATGTTAGTGCACATGCGACTTGGGTATTAAACAGTGTGTTTGTGTAGCATTGTACTGTTTTCTTTCTTCACAGTGAGCTGGATTTAACCAGAGGAGGTATTTCCAGCTTGACAGAACACACAAAACACCGTCACTGACTGACCATCAATGACCTTTTATCCTTCTGTCTTTCCATAACAGCTGTTAGGTGATGAGACTGTGTATGCTCTGCTGTTATTGAAGTAGGACATGATTCTTTTTCCAAGCAAGACTGAATTTCACTCTCGAAATTAATGTTCCTGAAAAGACTGACTCATTTCTGGATGTATGCATAGATTCTTCATACAGGAAATAGAGGCAGGTTGCAACATTGGATTAGTGCAGATTATTAGATTGGAAATTCAGATCAAATCTACACCAGACTCATTTACGAGAACCCATTCATCATGCACAATACACTGTATGAGTAAAGGGCTGTGATTGAATTTATTTGTTTTATTTATTAATTTGTTTGTTTGTATGTATGTATGTATGTATGGTCTTGCATTCATGAATCTGCATCGTGTATACTGGTAAAAATCATTATTTATTTTTGCTTAGCCTGCAAAGGGATTTATGGATTATGCCATATTATTGCAGATATATATTATTGTGCTTGATGTCTTTGAATGTGTGTAAGGTTTAGTAGGAATATCTGGTAAAGATGTTTGAAAACACTGATTTTTTTTTATTTTTTTTTTTTACAATTTGTAGAGATTACACATTTCAACTTGAAATAAACGAATAAATAAATGCTGTATAAAAATATTTAATCACATAAAAATGAAAAAAGAGAACATAATGAAACCCATATAAAATTCAATACAGTTGAAATAAGTCATATAAAATAATGCACAAAAACAGAAAATTTAAAAAAGATGAAAACTGAAATGTTCTTGATATAACCATTAATTTCAGTAAAATAAAATGTCATGGTTATAATAAAATAAATGAACAAATAAATACATTTAAAAAAACACCAATTAAAATAAAATAAATTATTAAAATAAAAAGAGGTCAATACAAATCTTAATTTTACACATTATTATTATTATTATTAAACCTGTCTCTGGTCTAATCACTATCGTTGTTCTGTTTCGCGCACGCCACGAAACTACATTTCCCATCATGCAACTCAGCTGCACCGTGGTCGAGCACTAGCTTAACAAACGCGCGCCGCCGCGTCTCGTCTCGTGCAGCAGCGCAGTTCGCTCGAGCGCTCTGAACAATGACTGCGCGAGAGGATGATGTGAATCTGGACAAATGAGTGATTTAACATCAATACTGCACACCGCGCTGTTTTGTACGCTTTTTTCACAACAAACACCCTGAATATGTGGATTCCTACAGAACACGAGAAATACGGAGTCGGTAAGTTTGCTGTTTATTTTTTTGACGCGACTCTGTTACTATTGAATCAGCGTTGTAACGTTACCACACACCGCTATTGCTTTCACACAGTGCTGGCTTGTTTTTGTTTCTAACGCCAAACCTGCTTGGTTTGTTTATACATGTTTGGAAAAGAAACAAGTGTTTCGTGACTTTGTTTGAGTGACTGAGTGGATGTTGTTTGTTTTACATACGGTGTGTAATTGAATGGAAATGTATATATTTGATCATATTCACGTACTGTATAGTGCATTTCCTCTACTGGGTTTCACCCTTTACTGCTCTTTTTGTGACCTCAGTGCTGTTTTGCCAAGAATGCAATGCAACTGTGAGAATCAGTGCTAGGAAGTCATATAGTCGCTGCAAAATAAACGAAGAGCGGAGAATGTGTTTTGTGGGCTGTGTTGTCATTCACCCTAGAGCATATGTGAAATGAATTATGTGTTATGTGTAGTATGCCAGCATGATCTGCGTTTCATGAACGTTTTTTCTTGCATATTTGAGTTGAACTTGAAAGTAATGCATGCTCTTGGATTGGTGACTTTTGGTTAGATTAGGTCAAGTGAGGTTTTGCACCATTGTCAAATCGAGATTTATGTCATCTGGTTGATGATATAGTTATGCAGTGAACAGTTAAAATGGATGCATGTTTGTGTCTTCAATCTGTTGATGGATGATGAATGCTGCTGGATGAGGGAATTAATTCATCAGTGTGATAAATGTATTCAAAGCTCAGAGATTGTAACCAATGAGACCCAGAATGCTTGGCAAAAGAAGGCTTGTTAGAGTGAAACTCTTCAGGGATCTTGTCTTCAGTTATGGTGATTTCTCTGAGGATTTTGTCATCTTGCCACATCTGTTACTTTAAAGTGGGACTCACACCCCAACAGGGATTTTGGGTTTTATATCCAGTGGCTTCGTATTTTTTGCGTTTGATCTTTTTCCAGAAACAAAATCCATGTTTTAGTGTTTAATTGGAAGCTGGCAAGTGGTGCTCGTATGTAAAGTAGTGAAGAATGACTCTCAGCCACAGATGAAATATGAATGAACCCCCACAGCCACTGCAATAAGACACCAATTAGCCCTCAATTGGATTAATTACATCTAATTAAATCAAGGCAAAGTCTGAAAATCCAATTCATGTAAGTCTCAATGGCCCTCCTTTAAAGTTTTTTACCTGCTAACAGGAACTAAGAAGAGATGATCTTTTTTGCCCTAATGTTGTTTTTGACAACCGTGGCATTTGAGGAAACAGACGCAGACGCTGAATGGGTGGAAATACCCACATTTTTGTCAGAACCTTTTTTTTTGTGCATTTCTTCCTTTGCTGTCTTCATTTCGTAAGACAAATGTGATTAACTGCGAGCCTGAAATAGATTGAGGGTGGAATATGACTAACTTTTGAAACTAGTCAAGCAAGCTCCTCTGGATATTTTCTATGAATCAGTCTGCCTTGTTCTACCAATTTTTAGAAATGCTAAAAAAACCCTCTGCCCCCTCATTTGAGTAAAAAAAAAATACACCCCATTGCTGAAGCTGATAGTGTTTCCTGTCAGGCATGACGATGTACGTCGTATTCTACTAAAATCTTATTTAAACTTGGATTTATGTTTGAATCATAGCAACCGTGTTTTCATTGCAAGAATTGCAAGAACATGGCTGGATCATAAATCACCCCAAATTTAAAATAAGAAAGAAGGCTAAAAGTTTAAGAAATGTAACATTTTGCATCATGAAAATTCAGCATGTTTTTAAAACCATTAGTAAATGGCTTGATATTTGGCCTTTAATTGCCGTTGGCCAGGAACTGTACACATTTTCTGTCAGTCATGTTTGTTTGTTTGAGTAAATATTATATACAACAAGTGCACATTTAAATGCATAAATTCAGTGCCCATCTTATTTGCTGCAATTAAATTGCATTATATTTGTAAATGATAATAATAATAAATATCTACATTCCCCCTCTTTAAACTCTCATTACAGTAATGTCATAACTGTAAAGCAAAAACAAATATTGCAGTATTATTTAAATCTAAATAAATTAAATAATAAATTACGTTATTTCAAGTATCTATACATTATGAATTATTTGTTATAAAAAGTCCAGGCAGCTTGATTTGTATTAGTGTGCTTGTTTCCTCCAATTTTGTGTGGAAATGTACTAAAAATGAGCTAATTTTTCTTTATGCAGTGTTTAATATCACTTGATTTTGGGTGTAAATAAATTGCATTATATATATTTATAAATAATAATAAATATCTACATTTCCCCTTCAAATTCTTACTACGGTTAAGCAGAAAAATTACTGTAAAGCGAAAGCAAATAATGCATTATTATTGAAATCTAAATAAAGTGTCTATACATTATGTATTTTTATTTTTTTTTGCACAGATTTAATTTATGCTGCAAAAGCATTTTTTTCCCCATTAGAGTAATGAGAACTTTGGGTGGAAATGTCCCAAAAATTTGCTCAATTTTATCTATGCAGTGTTTATTAATTGACTTTGGGTGACATTTTTTTCAAATGCACCCAATAAAAAGTGAACACAGCCCATCATGAATGATTTGGAACAGAGCCACCGTTTAAAGTGCTCTTGAATGCTCAGTGAGCCCAGAAGAGCTTTGACTGGGATGTTCTGGTGTGTGTTTTCATGAATGTGTGTGTGTGTGTGTTGGGCCCGGGTCTAGCGGTCGTGCTGCCCTTGTTTCCTATAGTATTCAATCCCCCTGGGACAGTGGAGCGGGCGAGGGGGGTTAACGCTGTGTGGAAGTGTCCACCCTGTGCGATGCCCTGTGGGATTAGCAGGTTGTTGTGGAAGTGCAGCGGGCCATTCCTTCATTATAGAAAATATTCTGTTAACGACCGGAGCCGAGGGATCTGAGGGGGCGGGGCTTCTCAACACCTCAGCGCATGCAATTGCCTCTTCATTCACAGGCCACGCCCCCAAAAGAGCTGACACAGTGATTTAGATGGACCCACGGGGAGGCCAGATAATATCCCATTTCTGTCATGACTCAGGCTCCAGATGGGGGAATAACACATATATATTAACGTGCACATGATTATCTACTGGAAAACTAACACTTTTACTCCAATTTGTGTTCTGGTATTTTTCATGTAGGTTTTTCTGAATATCAGGAGGAGCAGAAAATCATAGACAGTGGTCTTTTTTTGATTTGGACCAGTAAGCAATGTCCTAAAAACCAATCAGAACTCCCTGACAACTAATTAGCTTCAACCAATCAGTGTATGTTGAGTAAAACACTTCAAAGCCTGGTCTGTTGTTTTAAGGGAACAATTGCAAATGAGGATATTAAGGATATTGCAGACATTCAAATATTTAATAAGAGTTATGTTTAAGAGTAAAGGTTTGAGCCAAGATTCCATTTTCAGTTTGACTAATAAAAATGAGGAGCTACATTTATTTTTTTTAAATGTACATTTATTTATTTTACAATACATGTATTTTTTTTAAATGTATTGTTTTGGCCAGTATTTGATGTTAATCAGTCTGTATTGTATATGTAATTTAGATTTTTGTCTATTTTAAGAATTAGATCATAATGTAATGCTAACTTGAAGGAATAGGAATAGATTACGGGAAATATTTAACCCTTTAATCTTATGAGTGCTTTTCTTTTAAGAGTGCATTTAGGTCTTGAGTTGCTGTGTGTATGTAATTATTTTATATATTATACAAAGTACTATATATTTATGATTGCTTATTTGGCATAATCTAAAAACTATTTTTTGTACAATTTCATCTTTTTTTGTTTTAACCTGTGCATCCCTACTATCCATAAATCTGATTGCATGCCTATCTATTTTTATTTCCGCCAAATTATATATGCCATCTACCTGGCTGTATAAACCAGAAGCTATTGAGATGTCATTAAAACACCTTACACCGTCTTTTCACACCTCTTATGACTGCAGTTATGGACACTTACATGAAATAATCAGACAGGCAAATCGGAACAGTCTCTTGCAAAGACAAGATCCTTTCTGAAAACCACAATCCCCCACCCTTTGAAACCGAAGCCTGGTTCTTTGCGGAAATCCCGTTATTGATCCTAAACTAGGCACACTCCCCCCAACCTCATAATCCTTCTGACCTTTGACCTCCCGTTCAGGGTGCACGCAAACAGGGAGATTATTAATACACAATCAGTGGCTGGAACGTGGATGTAATTAAGTGTGCTGCTGAATGCCTCATTAATGCAGGGGAAAGGCTTCTGTGTGCGGGAGAGATGGATGTAAAGAGAAGGACGTTCGTTATCTGTGCTCTTGGCAGGAAGGAGGGCTGCTGGTGTCTGGCTCAGACAGCGCTACAGATATGCCTTTCACAGACATCTGTTAAAGGACTTGTTCACCCAAAAATGAAAATACTGACATCATTTACTCACCTTCATGTCTTTCTTTTGTAATGTGGAACACAAAAAGTGATTTTTTTTAAAATAATTTTTGTTTTTAGTCAGTCGTTTCAGTTTCAGTTTAATTAAAAACAATGACTTAATTAGCTTATTTTTTATTCATTATTTATAGGAATGTAACGATTCACTCAACTCATGATTCGATTCACGATTCGATTCACTTTTTTTTTTTAGCAAAATAAGATTTAAGACAAATTATAAATTAAATGTGTCCTTTTATTATTGCTTGGACAAAATGCTCCACGTTTCTTTGTGAAATTTAAATATAACACTATAATAATATACTAATATAGCACTTATAGCATATAATTACTCTTTTGTTGGTTTTGATTGCTTCTATTGTCCTCATTTGTAAGTCGTTTTGGATAAAAGTGTCTGTTAAATGACAAAATTGAAATATACTGTAAATAACAAAACTACATTGAAATTTTAAAACAAGCCCCAAATCAAATAAATAAGTAACACAAATAAAATAAATCTCTTCCTCACTAAATATCTGCCCATGGTTCATTTGAGTCATTTCCTTTCAATGAATCAGTTGATT